TAGTCTTCGGTTAGCTTGTGAGGCAGGTGCCGTACAACTGTAATGCGAGGTGTTGGGGCTCCCGAGTGCGGAAAGCCCAAATTATCCCTGACTCAGTCTGAATTCAAAGGTATGAAATGACACCACCGTTTGTTTTGTTGTTTGTATTTCTGCCATCTGAAAAATGGGGCTAAGACTTCCTGCCTTGCAGGAAGAACTAATAAGTGTTACTGCTCCAGAAACACTTATTACTGCTCCAGAAACATTTATTGCAAGGGATAATTGCTCTCACTCCCTGCGGAGCCTGTCCTTAGCCGAAGAGCGAAGCCGCGTCCTGCTCTACCATGTTTGCCCTCGCCTGCCGTGGCTGCGTGGGGCAGAGCGACCCAAGGCTGCCTTTCCAGCCCTAGGCTGTGTCGGCAGAGCCAGCGGCGTGATGGCTAGTTTACTGTGGGCGCAGCGGGTGACTGGAAATTCCTCGAGAAGCCCCTTCCCGTGCTCTGGGAGGCAGAGACCTGTGGCGGGGTTGCTCGTGTCCTTGCTCGCACTGAGACACCCAGGACGTACCTTCTCTCTAGAGCTCAAGGGTGGTCTCTGCCGGGCCCGCCGGCCTGGGGGAAGTTTTGCTGGGAGCAGAGTCATCTCTGAGTTTTAGTTGAATCGGCTGAGTGGTTTCAACCGGGGAGATGAGGAAGAGTTTGGGAAAATGGAAAATACCCGTTTGATCCTGTCAAAGCACAACGCCTTAATGTTTTCTGCTTGAAAGAGATGCGTTTGTTTTGAAATTGTTTGGCGATTTTTGAAGTTGGGACAGGGATGATGTGTTGCCTTCCCAACCAGAAACACTCCACAATGTCTCTGCTTCACTGCCCAAGCTGAGAAGACGAGCAGCTTGGCTCGTCAAGAGTCCGTATCCTGTATGCCTTCTGCATGCGTTAGGCTGCTTTGGCATGAGGGTCTCGGCCTTGATCTTTTTGCTGTGTTACCCATTTGTTTCAGCTTTTGGTGGATTCTTTGGCATTAGCATAGAAATTCATGGTTTCCCCCTTAAAGTTTGTGCTTCAGAGGAACAATTTTGGTTGTTAGGATATGGTTTTGGAGAGAACCAGACTGTGATGGGTGGAGGAGTCTTTTTAATTCTTGTACGCTCACTGCAGGGGTGCCTGTGTTGTGAATGCTTGTTTCATTCAGCTGAATCACTTGCGCAGTCACACCTTGTCTAAACAAGGCTCGGGGATGCCTGAAGCCAGAAAATGTCTCGCTAGGAGATCCGAGCCAGTGCGGGTTTGATCCTCGCCCTCCAGGCTGCTCTGGCTGGGCTCTGATTACAAACGCTGTTGCTGGAGAGCCGGTGGTGACTGGCATCGCGCGTCATGAGATAAGCCGCATGTTCCTCCCTGAAAGAGTCCTCCCCGGCCATGAAATGACAGCCTCTCTGTTTGGGCTGCTGCTGGTGGTGTTTTTGGTTTTTTTTCCTCCCAAGTAGCTCCGATGCCATCGGCTCATCTGCTGCGTCTCTAGTTGAACGGTCTGAAGCCAGCTCAGCCTCGTGTGTGGGAATTTTTGTGTTTTTATCCCCTAGACCGCAGAGCTGTGGTCTGGAATCGGGTAAGTCTGTTTGTCGGGGAGCGAGCAGGCCCCGGCGTGCTGGCTGAGCTATCAGTGCTGTACCTGGAGAGCCGGCTCCTCCCTCCCAGATAAAGCAGAGGGCCGTGGAGCGGTACTGGCTCCTGGGGAAGTGCTCTGCAGGAGCGGAGTCCTCTGCCCAAGGGCACCTCTCTCGCCACCACCTTGGCAGAAAGCAGCTCCTGCTGCTCAAGGGTTGAGGCTGGTCCCTGCAGGGTCCGAGACCTGTATTTAATTGGGTCTAATCTGTGACCGTAACGTGTCACATAAAATTCTGTTTAATATCCTCCTGGCGTTATTTCAGACACTTATTGGGTCTGTCAGCTTTTGTGATAGGGCATTTAGTTGTCTAACTATGCTTGTGGTCTTCCAGCACGAGGAGAAGCCCAGGTAAAGCAATTAGTGAAATCCGTTTGGGAATTAAGATGATGGGATGTAGCATCCTCTCTCTGGCTTCTGGGGGTTTCTGTTACAGTTTGCCAGCGTGTCCGTAATGGCCCTCCTGAAGCAAGAGTTCTCCATTCAGCTCTCCAAAGCAGCTGCAAGAGAACTGGATTTCTTTTGTCTTCAGCTTTTCAGCAGGAACGTTCAACATTTGTAAATGTTATAGGTGAGATAGCGCCTGCAACGCCAGGCTCCTGAGCGCGGAAAGGGGCTGCTGTTTGCTTTTCCAATAACCAAGCATGTTTATCACTTTTTTTTTTCTACCTTCTTAGCTATGTAGAGATTAAAATTTCTTTGTTTTCTGATGAGTTGAAAAAAATCTATGCTTGACCCTTCATGTGAGTTAAATTTTTTTTAATTTTTTCCAAACCCCAAAGATCCAAGATTTTGCACTGAAAAAGAGGTGCTTCTGAGATGGCTTTTACCTCTGGTTAGGTCTCTGTCAAACACTGTCAAAATTTACACACAAGTTGGTTGGCGCTTTTTAGTTTATAGTTTCTCTAGACAGAGGTAAACTTGTTGGTATCCAGAGTTCAGCTCATTTTGCTCGTGAAGATGTGTCTCTGCGCGAAGTGCCTGCTCCTGGGTTTTTGAACTGCATGCCCTTTTTCTTTTACGTGGGCTCATTTTTAGGAGACAACTCGCTCTCCCTGCAGCCTGCATGTCCCCAGCGCTGCCATTCCCTATGCGGACCTCAGGGTGCTCTCGTCCCGCCTGTGCTGAGATTTGAGTGTAGCTGGGAAAAGAGCAATAATGTCGGCATAACCTTTCCGCCTCCTGCCTAAAGTCAGTTGCTGCATCGGTTGGGTTGGAAGCACGTGGCGCGTGCTCGCAGTGGGACTGCACTTGAAGTGGGTCTCTAGTGAGCACTTTCTGCGTCGCTGTTGACAGACGAGAGAGTTTCTGTAGGCAGCGCCAGTTCTGCCTGAGTGCTGCTTGGGAAAGGGCCCCGAACTTGTAGCATTGCAGTGCAGCGCTTACCCAGGTTTTCGGAGCAACTGTTTCCACGCTTACCGCAAGTACATCAGCTTCTGGAAATCGTCCCAGGTCTGGGAGATGCAGATGACTGTAAGGGCTCTGGTGAGGGTCGGACATTTGGTAAAGACACCACTTCGCTAGCGTCGGGACAAGGACACGGTGTGGTTATCAGTTAGTTTAGGAAAGTTAAATAGGTGATTTGCAAGTGAGATGTGAATGAATTGTACAGCAGAGCTTGCGCTGAACCCTGGAGGGACCTGGCCGTGAGACATGCTGCCTGATGGCCGTGGCTGAAGTCCACTTCCATCGGGGCTGGCGTGTTCTACCCTTCCTCCAGAGCTTTGCTTAACATGCTGGTTGCAACAGACCTTCTGAAGTCGTCACAAAATAATCGGTCAGGCAGTCCTTGCACCGTAAACTCGTGGCACCTCCCAGCTGCTGCTTCCTTCTGCTCCCCTCTCCCGCTCCATTCTGATGATCTCTTTGTTTAAGCCTTTCTCACCCCCCGGCCCCCCCCGGCCCCGGCCCCCATGATGATGAGTTGTGATAGTGCTGTTATTGTCTGCTATTAGATGACAAAATGCTCAAGAACACAGATATTGCACTGGGAGTGGAGGAGGAGCAATATCCTTACATGCCAACAGTATGTCTCTGTTGACTCTCAGCTTTCCCAAACAAAAGATCTTTAAAATGTCTGTTACTTAGGACTGTAAATGAATTGCTGAGCGTAATCATGGTGTAGACGAAGCGTAGCCTCAAGTCTCCCCAGCGCTAGTGAGTACCAACTGGGAACCTCACGTGGTGGCCTTACCTGTTGCTCAGCTGTTCTGGACGGCACTTGGCTTTCTCTGCCGTGGCAGATGGACTGGGTGTGTTCCCCGAAAGACACCTTCCAAAAAGCAAGGGAGGGACGGAAGGCGCGCGGTAGGCTCGACATCGAGTCTCGGGGTGCGGTTTCAGTGTGGTGGGGTTTTGTCTTGCCCACGCACCTCTGGCCTAGCCTCCAGGCCGTGTTTGTCGGAGGGGCCGCAGCAGCGCTGCCAGCCCTGCTCCCTGGGGCAGCAGGAGGGCCCTGCTCAGCCCCTGCTGTGCCAGGGCACGACTGAGTGACGGGGTTGAGCATCCAGCACAGCGCCTGGATGTTTGCTTCGTGCCGGAGGGATGACGACAACAGGACAATGGCTTCACTGAGCAGACATCTCATGCGCTTCAGTGAATGACGGCTGAAGGAGCTAACGTTAATACTTCCTCGTGTGAGTTTCTAGGCATCTTTTCCCCATCAGACAGGAGAGCAGGCATCTGGTGTTCACTGGGGCTTTGTCCTTCCCCCTGCCCACCTCTGGGCAGACAGGCAGTCTGTCTGGGATCGCTTCTCTCCCCTCCTGCATTGGGGACTTATCCTGCCCTGTGCCTGTGCCAGGCTGGGAGCTGGGTGGAAGGGCTGGATACCGGTTGGATGGTGCCGCTTCCCTTGCCACAACGGGGAGGACAGTCACGCACTCATCTCTTTCATCTCCTAAAATTGCAGGCTCCTTCCCATTCCCATGCCATGATCTGCGGTGTGGTAACATCAATCTTGAGGCCACTCTTGCTGTGCCTCAGGGACAGCAGGACTCGCTGCATCCCCAAAGGGCAGGTTTCCTTACGAAGACGCATAGGAAATGGTCAGCAGGGAGTGAGTCACATCCCACGCTCGTGCTCGTACGCAGATGGAGCGGGGACCGCACGGGTTGCTGCAGGGACTAATCCCGTTTATTCTTGAGTGCTGCTGTGTAAAGCTTTCAGGTCTGCGCCTGGGAGAGTACACCCGGCACCGATCATGTGCTTGCAGGTAATAAATCTCTTTGCTGACAGTACACTGAAGAAACTTATAACGTGTTAGTGTACATCTGAGGCTGGGAGCTCTGGTGCGGTTTCAGCTCAGCTTTAACACAGTTCATGAATTCATTTTAAGCCTGTAATATGTTCGTATTTTTACAACAGTTATAAAAGCTGTCATGTCAGCTGGACAAGGGTCAAGCTGCAGCCCTTTTGAGGCAGATCCTGTCCAGTTTTTAGAAGAATAAACCCATATTCCTTCCCAAAATGGGATCCAAGGTTTCTGTTTAATCGCTGACTGACTTGCATTTCTCTTTCTAGACTTTGCCCTTGCGAAGGGAAAGGAAAGTTATCTTAGGCTGCCTACAGACGGTCAGCTCAGCCCTGTGGCCGCTCAGCCTGGCTCCTCAAACGCAGACAGGGCTCTGCACGCGGACAACTCTAAGGGTTGTGTTGTTTTGAGTAACTGCAGAGTTTGTAGTGTCTAAAATTAGTGACATTGGTTTAGGGGACGGGTCCTGTGCATCACTGTGGACACTTCGTGTGGCCAAAGCATACTGCACAGCCTCAGTCAACAGCCCTTTCTGTAGCTTGTTGCACACAGGGAACAGTCGCTGGAGTCAAGCAATGGCAAATTAAGCCTCCTGCAGTGGATGGTGGGCTTGCAGAATTCAGTGCTGCAAAGGAACCAGCTGGAGCTAGAAACTTTATTGCGTTTGGAAAAGCGATGGGTGGGAAGGCTATCCAGAATTAAATAGTTAATGCTACGAATGTCGTAGAAATCGCCTTTCTTAGGATGACGGCTCCACTGGGGAGGATGGTCCCATGCCTTTCACCACAGTAGCCTTACGCTTTCTTGGAGAGCAACTGTGGATGGGAGCAGGAGTCTGGGTTGGACCCACCCCTGTGGAGTCAGGGCTCACTGGAAAGCCTGGGTACCCGGCTTCGCTAGGAGGAACTGGGAAAGCAAGGCGTGCAAGGAGAGGTGAAGTTTTGCACAAGCGTTGGGATTTGGGTGGGGTTTCCCTTAAGCCATGGGAAACCTCCATAGGAACTTCACCCCGACATAAATGGGGTTTTCTGAAGGAATCGGGGTAAGAATATGTTTTCTTTCAGCCCAGCATGTCTCTAAACCATGACTCCGTACAGGCCTTCTGCTCAGCCTGTGCTGCGGTGCCCGTGAAGACGTGTTTGCGGGTGTGCAGAAGTGGCACGGGCCACAGTGAGATTAATCTCCTTGCTCCCTTTGCACTGCTTCAATCAGTGGGATTAGGGACGTAAATTCCTCATTGGACCTTTCTGTATTTATAAAGCAAACAAACGTTACACTGTGTTTCCGCTCTCGAGCTGGGGTTGTCTTGGGGCAGGAGCCTTTCTACTTCGTTTGGAGCTGTCGAGTCCTCTACCTCAGACGAGTCAAAGGAAGCCGGACAGCGTGTTGCAGGGGAATGTTGCACTTGCACCTGAATCCATTCCTGAAAAGCACAGGACGCAGTTCCTCCCTGGAAAGTAATTTCTGTGGTGGTGGAAGCTGCTGCCTCTTTAGGGGACAGCCAGAGATTCCCACCATTCTGACATGCTTCCGTGCCTTCCAGCTTTCTCCAGAGGTGGGCTCTCAGACCGGGCCTTGGGTGCTTCTCCTGGAGGCATGGTCCGTCCCTTGGCAACTGGCTGCAGCGGGTGTCCTCTGGGCAAGACCCTTCTAGCTGCCTGGTTGCGTTTCTGGCGTTGCCCGTGACCCTGAGCAAAATGGGAGCTGGAAACAAAACAAAATGCAGGAAAGTGTGCTGTGCCTGGCTGGTTAAAAACATGGTTTGGACTTGATGATCTTAAAGGTCCCTTCCAACCTAGACAATTCTATGGTGGTACTTTGATCATGGCTAGTCGTTAGAGCTGCCCCAGGGGTGTTCCCCTGTGGTGGTGGGATCAGAGGAAGTGCTGAACAGCCTTTCTTCTCAAGATGTAACCAGTGTTCAGAAAAGTCTGGACTCTGATGCCTTGCCAGGCTTTCAGGCCCTGGCTCAGGCAGACCTTGCGGTAGTCTGATTCATCGCCTCCTGACGTTTCTCTGCAGGTGTCGGTACCTGGCAGTCCAGCTGTCCCCAGCCATCCCCGTGTTTGCAGCAGTTCTCTTCCTGTTCGCCATGGCCACGCTCCTGCGGACGAGCTTCAGTGATCCTGGGGTGATCCCAAGAGCCCTGCCTGACGAGGCAGCCTTCATCGAGATGGAGATCGGTGAGTGTGGAGCCAGCTGAGCTGGTGATGGCTGGAAAAGCCTCTGTATTTCTGGCGTATCTACAGGCTACATTCTCTGCAGAGCCTTTCGTCCCAGCTGGCCCTCCAGAAGTGAGAGTTGCCCCAAATGGGGCATCTTACCGCTTGCTGGCTAACTCTGCTTGGCTGAGCCTCAAAAAGATGGTGCAGTGGACCTGCTTCCCTTTCTGGCAATCTTTTCACATGCTGTTTTCTCTCCTGTAGCTGTGTACATACAAGCTCAGTTTACGTTTGGGAAGGGGGGCAGGAAGCTTGGTGTGAGCCCCTTGATCCTTCAGGTAGAGATGAAGGGTGGTGGATGTGGGTCTGTACAGTGACCGCCCTCACCCCCAACCCCTCTCAGTCTGCCCATGAAAGCTCTGGCATCCCTTTTCCTGCCTCCGAGCTGCCAGGTTGGCTCTGGACCGTGCAAGCAGAGCTGCAGCCGCTGGCTCTAGACCCAGCAGGCTCTGATCCCACGGGTAGGCAAAGCAGGGAGGTGACTTGTCGTTCTAGGCCTGTCGTGTTGTAGCAGGCAGGTCTGATCTCTGCTTGGTTCTCTCTCTCAGAGGCCACCAACGGGACCGTGCCGCAGGGTCAGCGCCCGCCCCCGCGGATTAAAAACTTCCAGATCAACAACCAGATAGTGAAGCTGAAGTATTGCTACACATGTAAGATCTTCCGTCCGCCCCGTGCCTCTCACTGCAGCATCTGCGACAACTGTGTGGGTGAGTAGAAGAGGCCGTGCCTGCTCCCGCACCTGGGTGTTAGGTGAGAACCTTTGGGAGAGAACAGGTGAAGATCTGCACCTGGTCTCGCTCTCACACTGCGCCTGCTGAGCGAGTCCAGAGTGGTGTGCTGCGAACAGATGGGGACAGTCTGCCTCATCTTAAGCTCGAGGAGCTTGAGATTTGCTCAGAACCTGAAGCCAGGTGGTTCGTCTTTGCTAGTTCTTCTTTGGCAATAACTAGTCTGACGTAAGTCTAGCTTGTCCATATAAACGTGCAGTCCATTTTTGAGTTTCACTGAACTGCTGGCCTTGCTGGACTAGAGCGTTCCAGTGGAGAGCTGTGTCTTGTGTGAAAGCAGCTCCTTACATCAGCACGGAGATTCTGCTCTCACATTGAGTGCCCCTGGTTTTTGTTCCCCTTGCTGCATAGCAGACGTTCTCTTAGCTCTTTTGCATATCATAATTGGCTCATGTTCAGCATCCCTTCTCAAGGAAGAAATCCCATTCTTTTGGATCCCTTTCCTCCTCTGCAGGTTCCCAGCCCTGTGAGTGTTTATGCAGTTCCTTTAACTCTCTTCTAATTATTCTAGTAGGAGTAAAGTGGCACGTGGGTTAGATAAGGACTTCTGAACCCCCAGCCCTTCACCTAACCTGTGTGCTGCTTTAGTAAAAGCTGTTAAACCTCAGGTCTCTGGGAGAGAAGACATGCATGGAGCCAAGCTCTTAAACTCTGTCTTAATTTGCAAAAAAACTCAGTAAATTGTTTTTGCACTTTCTTACCTGGCCTCCCCTTCTGGAAGGGGGCCGTGACATGAGGCCCTGAGTTAGCAGAGGTTGGATTTGATGGCCCAGGGACCCTGTGTCAGCCTTGGCAACTTTTGAGTTCGAGGCACAGGAGTAAGTGTCTGGAGGCAGGCAGGGCCGTGCTAGAGCAGCACTGATCTCCATCTTCGCTTTCACAGAGCGCTTCGACCATCACTGTCCCTGGGTGGGCAACTGCGTGGGGAAGAGGAACTACCGCTATTTCTACCTCTTCATCCTCTCGCTCTCACTCCTCACCATCTACATCTTCACCTTCAACATAGTCTACGTAGCACTGAGTGAGTCTGGCTGCGGAGAGGTGGAAGGCTGGGCTGGCTAAGGGTGAGGGGGGGATACAGATGGTGTTGCGAACCCAGAAGTGATGGGATGGGAAAGGCAACTGGACTCGGTGAGATGTTCCAGAGAAAAAGTTGTCTCTCTCTTTGTATTGGCAGAATCTCTGAAGATTGGGTTTCTGAACACGTTGAAGGAAACCCCAGGGACATATCCTTCCACAGTGCGGTGGGGTTGGCTTCTCCAAAGCTGGGGGTTAGCGTGAGCTGCGTTATGGAGGGGCTGGAATCTTGATGCCCAGGTTTCTCTAAGCAGTCTTTCAGGGCATCTTCCCCCATGATTACAAGGCAAGGAGCAATTTTTTGGCTTTTGGGAGGAGGGTAAAACAGAGTACTATGTCTAGGAGAAGAAGAGAAGTTAGGGTAGTGTGCCCAGGGTGGTGACACAGCTGGGCTGGGACTGTTCCCAGGCTGTTTCCAGTCCTTAACTGTTCTCACTGTACTGGAGGTGCTCATCTGTTTCTTCACCCTGTGGTCGGTGGTGGGGTTAACTGGGTTCCACACCTTCCTGGTGGCACTGAATCAGACAACCAACGAAGACGTAAGTAGAGTCTTTCTGTTCCTCTGAGCCATCTCTGTTTCTCCTCACTTCCTCGGTGTGTCATGGCTGTGTCCACCTTGCTGACGTGCCCTGCAGGCTGAGGCAGAGCTCTGTGGGCCAGTGTCGGTGGAGCAGACCTGAGCTTGTGCCCTGACTGTTGCAGATTAAGGGGTCCTGGACTGGGAAGAACCGCGTGCAGAATCCCTACAGCCATGGCAACATAGTGAAGAACTGCTGCGAGGTGCTCTGTGGACCTCTTCCCCCCAGGTAAGCTCTCGAGGGGCAGCCCTGCCATTTTTGCCCCCAGAGCGGGACTGAGAGGAGCTCTCCTTGCTTGGGTGCAAGAACTGGCTGCTCTTCTCCCAGCTCTGTGTGTGTTGAGAGCTTCTGGAGGTCACTTGAGACATGGCTGGATGCTCTGGGGAGGAAAGTCTTGTGCTGCCTTCTTTGCATATCTTCAGTGATTCAAAGCTTGTGATATGCTCGTTATCACCGTGTGCTTGGGAAGCTGGTGGAGAAGTGGCTCCCCTCCCCTGGGGCAGCGTATGTGGCAGAGGCTCTTTCCAGGGCGCTCATTTTGGTGGGCTCCCACACTCTGAACAGGGCTGCTCTCCAAGGGACTTGGTTCTCACAGGGGGAACAGAGACACTGTAAACTAGGTTTGGGCTGTGCACAGCCTGTTTTGGAAAGGAACCCCTTCCCCTGACGTTTGTCTTCACCAGCACTTTTCCTGCCAGGAAAAGAAGTTGGCTTCAGGAGAGGCGTGGGTCTCTGATGGTATGATTCTGGTTTTGCAGTGTCTTGGACAGACGGGGCATCTTGCAGCAGGAGGAGAACACAGCTCAGGAGGAGTCGTGCCCACGGGGACCCAGCGCTCAAGATCCCACCGTTGCTCATGGCGCCGGCGCGCCGGCAGAGGAGAGCAGTGCTCAGCAGAAGGATGGCAGTGTTCCTCACCCGAGTGCCGTGAGTGATTGCCTCTGTGGGTGGGGGTGAAAGGGCTGTGCCTGCTTGGAGTTGCCGGTGCTTTGGGCCTGCAGAGAGAAAGCTGGCGGTGTGGCTTAGCAGGAACAAAGCAACGCCTGGGGCTTTGCTGAGAGGCTGCCCATGTAAAGCCTGTTGTGCTCTGGCCTGGGAAACCAGCATCTCTCTGGAGCTGGCTGGGAGGGTGCTGGGATCCTCTGGCTCCTAGGTAAACCTCAAAAGAAATCACAGCTGGCTGTGGTTTTGGAGGTGTCCGTTCTGCCATGAGAGCACCCAGGAGCTGGCACTTACGGAGTCTAGGAGGGGTTGAGGAGGGGCAGGAGACTGCAGGCGACTTATTGTGGCCCTGAGTGCAAGCTGAAGGGTTGTCCCTGGGAAGGGCCCTCGCAGGTGTGGGATCTCCATGCTTGGAGAAAGCCATTGCCCCACTGCATATGGCCCCGAGCAGCCCACGCTGTCTTCGAAATTAGCCCCGCTTTAAGGATGTGGTTGGACAGGAGACCTCCAGAGGCCCCTTCCCACTTAAATTTTTCTGTGGATGTGGTGGGAAATGGCTGGGCCTACTCCTGCTTGGGCATGAGCTGCTGTTTCGCTGTTGGAAACAGTCCGGACCGCTTCTGCTGGAGCAGTCCAGTGCTCCAGATCTTCGTGAAGCTGCTGTTTTGCCTGCTTGGTGGCAAAACCCTTTCTCCTTTTCCCAAGCACGGCTGAGACCTCTGCCTGGCGGAGCTGGAGGCAGGGGCAGGGCAGTGGGGCTGAATGTCTGTGTGCTCAAAGAGATGCTCTGTATTGGGGCGTATTCACGCAAGTCACTGCTGTTTTCTCTCTCCAGGTCCCTGTGCCATCCCTGAGCAATGCTGAGATGCCAGAGGAGAAGCAGCTAACGTCTGGGGAGCTCCCGGTCCCATCCCAGGACGCTGGGCAAGCAGAGCACTAGCATCTGCTTGAAAGGGAGAACTTTCTTGTTTTGTCTAATCAAAGCTGGAAGTGATAGAGGAGAGGAGGAGATGGGCTGGATGGCAGGCAAACGATTCCTCATGGCCATTTTGCTTTAGTCATTATTCACCTCGATGCGCAGGCGGTGCGGGCTGGCGCTGGCCTTGCATGGTGTCAAAGGATAACGAGCCCAAGTGGCCCGCCTTGGTCACCGAGGCTGGTCTGCCTGCAGGCCGAGGCAGGACCTCTTGCGCTGCAGGTTGTCCTGGATGCTAAATACCGGCTCGGTGGCTGGGCCTGTCCCTCCGTCTGGCCCCGACTCTCTGAAAAGATGACTTGTGGTCACGCAGCTCAGAAGCGACGTTAGGGTCGGCCTGCTCCCTACTGCTGAGGAATCCCGATGGGAAGGGGAAAACAATTTATGGCAGTAGCGTCCTCTCTCCCCTCCTCCCTCCTTCCTCTAATCTGTGGCATTGTTTTATTGGTGAACGTGGCAGGGGTTGTCAGGAGACATTTTGGTGCCAAAAGGGCCAAAACAACTGGGAAGGCGTTCTGCTGGCAACAATTTTTAAAGTGGCTTCCTTCCCGTGCTCCTTCTTTTCGTGTGACTTAGGCGGCGTGAGAGCAGTCGTGGCAGGGGCCCTCCTTCCCGTCCTTCCCTGGGACCCACGCCTGACTCGGGGCTCGAGGGAAAGGGAGGGGGGCCGCCCGTTTTCCTGCCGCTTGTCTCCACCCCGCGCTGGCCGCAGAGCGGTTGTGCAAGGGGTGTATCAAGCTGCAGGGGAGGGTCTGCCTGTGCCGCTGGCTCTCCAGCTCATGCCAGGGCTGTGCTTGCTCCCGGGTGCCTGCGCTGAGCGCAGGCGTGCCCTCCCCTTGCCCCCCAGGCTGTGGCACGCCGCTCAGCTGCTGCTCTGCAGAACCTCAGCCCCGATTCTGTGTCGTGTCGTCGTGTCCCCCCCCGTCCCCCCTCCGCCTTGCCCTGCCTTTCTCAGCCATCCTCGAGTGGCTTTCGGAGCCTTGAATCTTCCCTGGGCTTTGCTGGCTGTCCTGGGACTGGCTGTGCGGTGTCGGCCATCTGCGCCTCCTCAGCAGAGGAAGGAGGAGAGGCCAGGGCCGGGGGGCGGTGGGAGAGCTCCGTGCCGTGGCAGGGCTCCTCTTCCACTCCAGCGCTCCCTGTCCTGTGCCTGGCAGCCGCGCTGGGAAGAGCCTCATGTCTGCGGGGTCCCCGCAAGGGCTGGTGATGGAGGGAAGGCCGTTTTGTGCCCTGGTGGTTCTCCGTCCCGTACCACGAGTGCTGGGTACTTCTGTGCCTCCCCGCAGACACGTGGCGAGTGGGTGGCAGGCGGAGGGTGTCCTGCCGGGGCAGTCCTGCTTTTCTCTCCGTGATGCTCCTGCCTGGCAGCATGAAGTTGCTGCTCCTCCTTCCCTGGCCTCATACGCCATCCCGCTTTGGACAGTGGCGTGGAGCGAAGCAGGGAGCCTTGTCCGCCCCGGAGCCTGATGTGTGCCTCCCAACCTGCTCCTCCTCCCTGGCCCCTCGCAGTGTTGACCCGGGCCGTGCCCGGCAGCGGGAAAAGTGGTGGTAATGTGGCGACCGGTGCTGCCCCCTCTCCCGTAGTGCCAGGGTCTCCTCTCCCGGGTGAGAGGGCAGAGCTGCCGCCCTGGGCTCCGGCAGCAGGTTCACAGTGTCCCTGCAGCTGCTCCCCACTGGGGCGTACAGGGGAAGGAGCTCGGGGC